CCCTGAAGAATTCATCCCTGCCAAGGCCACCAATTGCTGGAACATCCCCATTTTGGGTGACTCCATGAGCGTAACGTAGAGCGGAGACGCGGGTGCAGGCAGCACTGCCACCAGATCAAAGCCAAGGCAAGGCGAATCGCCCCTCCTGGTGATGGGGATGTGACAGGCCATTCCGTTGCTGGAAACTGGTTTGGGGCTCTTTGGAAGGTGTGGAACAAGGAGGATCAAGATGAGCCTGGGGAAGCTGCCAGTGCTCAGCTGGGTGTCAGGTTCCCATGGCAAGCGGCGGCTGAAGTCGGAGCTGACGCCAGACATGATCAGCCCTCCGCTGGGGGACTTTCGGCACACCATGCATGTGGGCCGCGGCGGGGATGTCTTTGGGGACACCTCCTTCCTCAGCAACCATGGTGGGGCTGAGCCAGCCAAGGCCAACAACTTCTTTGCCCGCACACTGCGGCACGTCCGACGGACACCGCAGAGGAGACGGGGCAGCGGTAGCCAAGCAGGAGCATCACCCGAACCCCCGGCCATCTCACCCATCATCAAGAATGCTGTGTCGCTGCCACAGCTCAATGAGACGGCGTACGACAGTGATGGTGACTTGACCAGCAAGTACTCCTTCAAGAGTGCCTCAAACAGACTCTCCAAAACACACCAGACCTACGGTGAGTGCAAGCATGGGGGTGGTAGCTGGTGCCCAGACACCCTTATGTCCCACTGTGGCAATGCCCATGCCACAGCACAGCCATCTCCACCTCCACTGAAGCCCTCAGCAGCCCCCAGCTGTCCCAATCCCTTCATTTCCATGTGTCCCTCAAGGGTCTTCATCCCTCCCTTCCCTGCTGTTCACTCATCCCATCCTGATGGTAAGCATTCAGGAAGGCCCCATTTGGAAGGGCTGTGGGATGGGTGGATGGGACAGCTGGGGGGCTCTTTTCTAGCGTCACAGCACTGGGCTGTGACTAAGCTTTTTTTCCAGGGGCTGAGGCCAAAGATTTCGGGAGGGTCTGGGTGCCTGTGGCAACCAAGGGATATGGTTGGGCTCAGAGGGAAAGGCAAGCTGAGGCAATGCTGCCATCTCCTGGTCCCACCCACTTGACTGCATTCCCACCGGCCTTTTACCATGCTTGCTGCCCACCAGGAGACCACAGCCCTGGGCTTTGGAGATAGTACCCCTGGGCTGCAGTAGTGTGATGCCATGGGCCCTTTAAGAGAGGTAACCTGGCCAGTGCCACCAACCTGTACTGGCATTAGCATCCCTTGTCCCATGGCCACATAGGTTTTGTCCCACCATGGCACCCTGGCTGCACTCACCAGCCATCACTTCTACTTTGCAGGGCTGGAGTCTGGGTTTTGCACCATCCCTCGTGTCCCTCGCCTGGAAAAGGCCCAGGAGAGCACCTTCCCTGGGGAAGAAGAGCTGGATCGCTCAGACTCCCTGCTCTCCTTCCGCCTGGACCTGGGGCCCTCTCTCATGAGTGAGCTCCTCCAGGCAATGAGCTTCTCTGAAACCAATGGGAACCAGGTAGCAGAGGATGGCCAAGACCCACCTGGCAGCTGTGTGCTCCCGCACAGTGAGGGAACCAAGGACGGAGTCCTTCCAGGACAAGACACATCCCACGGAGAGCTGAAGGCAAAACCCAGCTTCTGGGACCACTCTGGGCAGGCCGGCTCACTTCTGGGACTGTCCATCCGTGCCAATGGAGAGGCACATGCCATTGAGCAGCCCAAAGAGGACCCAGCAAAGGCCTCGGGGCCAGCGGCAGTGCCCGCAGGGACCCTATGGCAGGGGCACAAGAATGACTGCTCCATTGAGGCAGGAGAGTTCGAGCGGGCGGCCCAGGTTCTGGCTCGCCATTATGGGGGGACAAGCACCCCACGTAGCTCAGAGAAGGGAGAGGATGCCCGGCAAGTCTGGACACGGGCTGCTTGGGAGAGCCCCAGCAGCAACTCGTGGCAGCCGCAAGTGACAGCAGCCAGCCGGTCCCTGGAGAACACCTGGGACCAAGGAGAGGAGGAGGACGAGGAGGACGAGCTCCCCAGCCTGCAAGAGGGGTACGTTGGCACCCGGGGGGGCCGCAGCAATTCTTTCGAGTATGCCGACGAGGAGGAGGACGATGAAGTCAAGGTGTGAATGGCCATCCCACCATCACGGCCCCACTTCCAAAGACATCAGTGCTGTGGTCATCACCCTCCTTCTTATCCCCCACCTCTGGTGGCAGACCCAGCAGGCAACTTCCTGGCCTTCACCTTAGGGCAGCGGAATGCAAGACAGGCAGGAGGGGGCCCCATTTCCCACAGGGCCTCCAGGTCTGGCAGGGTGCTGCAGGGATGGGTGAGGGCTGTGCACTGCACTGTGCCAAGCTACAGCCCTTCTCCTTCCCTATTAGACGCCAAACAAACATTCCCATGTGCCAAAGAAACCCTTGAGCCCCTTCCCACTCCAACCCACATCCCCCCACAAGTAAATGATTTGCTCAGGAAAGGAAGTGACAGTGACAGGCAGGGATCCGAGAGAGCCCACAGACGCTGAGCTTGATCCCTGATGCAAAACCCTGCCCTGAGAAGGCAGGGGTGACCCTGAAGGTGGCAGTGACAGCCATGGAGGTGGCAGTGGCTGCACCAGGCACCCAGCCAGCATTCCTCTTGGTGGACCTTCCCCTTGCCTTCTGCTGCTGAACATCACTGAGGAAGTCTCCTTGTCCTTGCAGGGAGTCTCCTTGCAGCAGGGAGGGGGAGAAATTTTGTGGTTTGCCAGCGGTGAGACTGTCTGGGTACCAAATACTGCCCTAAAAACTCCCTTTCCCTTCAACCCACCTCACAACAAGGAGACTCTCTCTCTGCAGCCATTATTCCCCACCCTCGTCCCTCTACCCATCCCCCCCACACACCCCACTTTGCAGAGTGCCTTGTCCCAAGGACACGCATGGAGGATGCTCAGTGCCCCTCTGTGAGCATCCCCGGGTGATGCAGCCACCCTGGGACAAGCAGCCTCCAAGCTGCCCAGCACAGAAGCGCCTTTGTGCCATGGTGTGGAGCCAAGATGTTCGGGGGCTGAGGTCACCAGAGGGACCCTCACAGCACCCTCCTTGTTCTCTGGGATGGACGGGGGTGTACAGTGGGGGGAGATGCCATTGGGCTGCGCTCCTACGTGGCTCACCCGCCGCCCAGTCCTTTTGCTGAATAAAGAGGCTCCAGCGTGCGCGTGCTATACGTGGGAGCCAGGCAGTCATTGCAGGCAGGTTAAGGGCAAGCCCTCCTCCCTCAGCCCCCCCAGAGCTGTGCCAACACGTTCCCAGCTCCAACCACCAGCACTCAGCAGGGCCATGCAGGGTCAGCATCCAGCCCATACCAGGGAGATGGCTCTCAGGATGAGCTCCCCCTGCTCTCTGCTTCTTGGACTGTGGCACAAGCTCCAGACCAAAGACCTACATCTGTGAAACAGCCTTTCTGCCTCCACTCTGTACCCCGTGCACTTATTATTGTCCTTATTAAAGCAGTTTTGATACTAACTTCTCTGGTGCATCCCTCCCCCAGTTGCAGCAACCTTATCATCTTCCCTCAACCACTTTGGTCAAGCCACTCTGATCCCTGTGGGATTTCCCAGCACCTCTCCTATGAGTTGGGCTTGTTCAGCCTGGAGAAGAGAAGGCTGCAGGGAAACCTCACTGTAGCCTTCCAGTAATTGAAGGGAGCTTATAAGCAGGAGGAGGACTGACTTTGTACGCAGTGTGATAGTGATAGGACAAGGGCAAATGCTATTAAACTAAAATAGGGAAGATTTAGATTAGATGTTAGGAGGAGAATTCATTACTCAGAGAGTGGTGAGTTGCTGACACAGAATGCTCAGAGAAGTTGTGGGTGCCCCATCCCTGAAGGTTTGAGGCCAGGTTGGATAGGGCCTTAGGCAGCTTGAGCTGGTGGTAGGTAGCAGCCCTGCCCATGGCAGTGGGGAGGAACTGGATGATTTTTAAGGCCCCTTCCAATTCAAGCCTTTCAGTGATTCTATGATTCATTTAAAGTTTTCTGTTTCATATAAACATCACTTACATGTTAACCAGTGAGGGCAAGGAGGTGATGCTTTTCCTCACATTCAGCCCTCCCCTGCCCTTCCTCCCAGCGCTGTTGGAGGCATTGCAATCTCCCTGCTTCCTCATTTTCTGCATATTTCATTCTCTCTCCCCAGTGACACTGGGAACAGGACTGACCCAGCACACTCCAGGCCCGCCTACAACTCCCTGCAACTGCCGTGATACTTCTTAATTAGATCAGTGGCATCAGATAATCAAGCACTAATAGCCTGCAGTCCCATGTGAGAGACACAAGTGGGAGCTGCCAAACCCACTCAAAAACACTCCTCCTTCCCCACTGCTCTCCCCTGCCTCACTTTCCCTTCAAGCAGGCTACAGCATGGTAATGTTAGAGTAATGGGTAACCTATCTGGAATGCACCAGCAGATAAGTGAGATAAGGAGGAAAGCCAGAGACAACCCCTTATCACAGTAGGAAAGCCAGTATGGACCATACCTGTGTTCCCATCCCCACACAGCCTGGCACTATACCAGCAGGAGGGCACACAGCCCTTTCTTCTACCTATCAGAGCAAGCAGCCAAGAGGAAATGGTGAAGCCATGCCCTGAGGTTCCCAAACCTAATGTTTAATTATGCACTTTTGTGGCACCAAATGCCACATTTCTCACATCAGTGCTTTTGTTCCCCTTCCTCCCACCCCCTCCTAAAAATGTGGGTGCAAGAAGAAATGGTGCATTGTGACAAGGCTCAGCAAGCATTCCCTGAGCAATCATATCCTATCTTCCTCTTCCTTTTTCTCCTCCTCCCAAACTCCACCTCCAGTGTGTTTGGCCCTGTGCACTGCTCAACCCCACATCCTGATCTGAACCAGAAAAGCACCTGGCCTTATTTAGGAGCTATTTCCTTTCCTGCTAGTGGACAAAGCTCGGTCTTTGCCAGCATCTTTCATAGAGCCACAGAGCCAGAGACCTCACAGAAGCCAGAGCAGCTGGAGCAAGCAGTCCCAGCTGGGTTTTTATTAGCACTAGGAAGCGGAACTCATCACTCCACCTTGAAGGAGGTGACCTTGAATCCTCCATGAATGTTCAAGTAGCTGATCTTGTCATAGCCATGCCGGTTGGGGAACTCCACTTCATGCCCATCTGGTAGTTTCACCAGGAATTTGTCACCCAGGAATTCAATGGTGATCTGTGAGGAGGGAGGGAGGAAGGAAGGAAGAGAGGGAGGAAGGGAGAGCAGGAAATGGAGGGAAGAAGGAAAGGTAAGCATCCATTCCAAAGGCATAATGCTACACATGAGGGTCAGACCTGGTCTGGAGGCTGTGCTGGGGGAGTTGCAGGAAATGAGCCATTGGTACTGAGGATCTGAGCTGGCAATCGGACTGTGACCTGGGGACAGGATCTCTCCCGGGGCTGTTTCAGCTACTCAGGTTGTAAACTTGGAGCAGATAAACCTAAGTGCTGCCTCTGCTAAATATACCATATGGCTTAGATTTGATCAGAGAAGAATACTTTATTGCCCTCATTACAACCAGGAAAAAAGGAGTGTTAGCCATAAACGTGCTCAAACAGACAGAACAGGGACTCATCACTGATCATCGCAAATGAAAGGGACTTCTCAAAGCTGTCACCTTTCCACTGCTTCCCCAACATTCAGCCATATGAAATAATACTCTTCTCCACAGCTGTAGTAAGTGGTCTACTCCTAAACACAGCCCTAGTAGCATCTTGGGACACAGGACAGAGTGACACAGCATCCCCGGCAGGAGGAGAGAAAGGACACGTTGTCAGTGTGGATCCAAATGTAGTTAGGACAGAAGAGTATTTGAGGACCAGAGAAGACAGGGAACCACACTGCTCCCAGCCCAGTTCTGGCTTAAAACCTGTGTTTACATAGGAGGCAATTAGAGAGAGAAATAAATAAGGTTAAGAGCAGCAAGATCCTGCTTCTTGGAGACCTCCTTTGCTTTCACACATGTCCCTGGGCTGGAAGCAGTTGTAAAGCCTGAAAAAGAGAAGGGTCACACAGAGTTCCACTGTTGATTTGAAGGAAAGGAAATAGCAATCAGGACGAAAAAGCCAGAAGATGAGGGAGCAGTGAAGAGAAAAAGAGGCACTGGGCAGGCAAGTGGGAGGATATGGGGTACAGGAGCCTCCTAACCATGGTATCTCTCACCATTCCACAACCCCACACCAGCACAGAGCCCTCACCTTGACACTGGAGCCCTTACGGAAACTGAAATGTTTATCGCGTTGCTCCTGCTGCCAGTTGTCAGAGCACAAGGAGTTGCAGACGATGACGGACTCATTGAAACGGGGGTTGAAATGAAGTGCCAGATCTGAGGATTTGCAACCAAGATTGATGGCAAACCTGTGGGTGAGTAAGAGGAAGGTCAGCTGCATGAGCAACAGGGTCTTGGAAGAACTAAGATCCAATACACAGTCCTGCCCCCAAAACCTCCATCAGCTGTGAAAATGTTTGACACCTCCTGCTCACAAACTCACCTTCAGCTTCAGTGAGTTGAGGTGGTTTCTTTGTACTTACCTATCAGCATCCTCAGATATATGGCCTTTTATCTTCATGGTGCCCCCAACCTTCCAATCCAGGTTGAACATTTCAAACATTCCCTGAGGCAGAGAAAAAAAAGGGGTCTGTGGATTTCCATCCTCCATTCCTCCCCTGCCACCGCACTGCTTGGAGAAGGTGTACCAGCCAGTAGAACATCTACTGTTCTCAGCAGAGGTTCCTCTCATGGCCTAAAATCATGGGCTTCTCAATAAGGGGAAGAGTGGGCTAAGTGCAGGCAGCAAGTGACAAAGAATGAGAAAAGAGAGGAGTTGATAACAGGCTTGCCCTCAGCACAAGGAAAGATAGAGTTCAAGAACAGCAGAATGAAGAGGATTTAAGTAGAGTGGTCCAACCCCCCCATTTGGTGGACAGCACCGCTCACAGCCCAAAAAATACAAGGAGTGAGAGCGGAGGTCTTCGTGCCTTTTCCCACCCCTCATACAGCCTTGCTGACTGCATGCCAGCCTGACCACCCTGGGCAATAGCAGGCAGGAGCAGAAGCCCTTACAGCCATCTTCCTTGGAGGGCAGTCAGCAGGCAGAGAACTACCAGCAGTTTAGCTCAGAAATGCTTCATATAGATGACCTCACATCACTTCACTTCCCTGTGGATTATATATTAACACATTAGAAAACTCTGAGTCATGCACATACCTTTTCCCAGGTACCAGCCTCTTTGTTGAATTCCGTATGGAGGCACCAGTGCACATGGCCCTTAGTGGCGCTACTCCAGCCACCATGTAGGACAAGCAGCTCCCTAGCTTGCCATGGAGGTCTGACCACCGCATTCATTTCTATTCTTGCTATAACAGCTCAGCCAAATAAAAAGCTTCCCAACTCCTTTCTTTCTTGTGGCTCTAGATTCATCTCCAGCTCATGGATTGCACCAGCAATATGTGGGAGCTTTCTGCAATCTCCCATTCAAGTTGTACTGAATCCTAAACCTTTGAGATTCAGGAGCCAAGCACAGCAGGTTTGATAGTCCCATCCTCTATAACCGTGAGAAACAGAAATGGGGAGCGTCACTCCACTGGTATCCTTGCCAGAGGTGGGCTACAAGTCACTAGACAGTTCCTCAGATTTGGTAGTTGGTGGTGGTGCTGTATTTCCAGAATGCAGAAGTCAGAAGAAAAGCAAGGAGAGCAGCAACCCCTCAATTACTCTCAAGCCCCATCCATGCAGAGAGCAGCTGGGAGGCAGTTCCTTACCCTCCCCCAAAGGCTCCTGACATGACAAGAGATAAAGGCTGATAAGCACTCCTACCCTGGAGGTACTTCCTATTTATCTGTGACCAGTGGGTCATAAAGCCCAACAGGCTCTGGCAATTTATTTACTGTTGAGGTCGCTGAAGTTGCTTGTGAAACTCCCCAGGGCTGAACTTTGATCTGCAGGAGCAGGTGATGGGGGTGGTTGCGTACAGACAGTGGTTTCCAGCATTAGGTCTGTTTGCCATCACGCTGCGGTGCGTCCCACACACACACACATGTTCACATTGCCTTCATCGTTGCCCACTGATCTCCCTGGCAGAGGGTGAGGCTGCCCACGAGGGAGAGCAGCACGTATCCCAGGGATGGGGAAAACCACTTGTGCAGAGTTGTGTGCAGAGCTGCGGATGTGAGAATATACACAGGCAGGGAGACAGGCAGGAAAGAGGAGAGGGGCTGTGAGATTTCTTCGAGATAACAGTAACCCCTTTCCTGCAAATGCTCAGCAGGGGCGTTCACCCCTTTGCCATTTGCCACTGGGAACAATAGTGGGAAACCCGGTAGCAATTCTGCCAGTGCTGGCGACTTCCTCTGTAACCTCTGCATGGTCAGGAGCCAGCTGTGTGCAGATGGTCTGGCTCATGCAATGGGGTGTGCTCCCCACGTAGGAAGGGAACCCTAGAAAGGCTGAAATCCTCCGGTGTGATAGGAGGTGATGACTGGGATGACTGGAGGGGGAAGGAGGCAGGTTGGTTATTTCCCCAAAAACATCGCAAGCCTAGGGAAATGGTGATGTGATGGAAATCTGGATACAGAGCATCTGCAAAGGAGGTGAAGGTGCTATACAGTGAGGAAAACATAAAGAATGGATGTGGAAGCTGGTGGTCACCAGTGCAAGGGACCAAGGAAGCTTTCACCCCTAAAGAGATCATCCTACAATAGGGATACAAGCCCCTGACATGAAGGTCCATCCTGTGGCAACCCTGGCTGGAGAGCAGCTGCCTACACTGATGTGGGATGGCCACTTTGACCCCGCTGGAGCTGGAAGAGGCCTTGCCATGTTCCTGAAGAGAAAGACAGTCCCAAAAGGTAGGGCTTGGGGTTAACACTCCTTCCTGGCCTTCCCTCTAGCCCTGGGGAGGCATCAGGCCACCAAGAGCACCCACGGGGGCTCAGAGCACTCGGGGTGACCTCTGACAGCAGTACCTATTGCCACCACCACTACCACAAAGCAGCCACACTGTATGCCAGAACCAACGCTTCCCTCCCCAGTGGGCTGCCAGGATCTGCATCCGAGGCACCAAGGAGTCTGTGCTGCAGACCAGGATCGGCACCCGTTCAAGGCAAAGAGGAGCTGGAGAGAGCACGCATTCCTTCTCGGAGCAGCAGCTGCTCACTCTGCTATTATTTCCTACTGCTTCATATAATTTGTACTCCACAGCAAGCTATTGTCCCTTTCCACTGGCTATTTATTTCCTTGAATAGCCTCTAGGGAAGGATTTCAGGGAGAGAGTAAGGAAAAAAGAAAAACCCTACACAATAAATATCAAGCAGTGACCTGATTTAAACCATGTTCTCTGACCTCATTCAGGCTCCAGTAACATTTCCTCCCTCTAGTCCTCACCAAGGGCTCATTTCTGCTTCAGTTTCCCCCTTTTTATGAAGTCTCCTGCCTTAGAGGGCTGCGGGGTGGATTTCAAGAAGCTTAGCCCAGGATTTCACCTCTATCTCCCCCAGTCACAAAAAAAAAAAAAAAAAAAAAAAAAAAAAAAAAAAAAAAAATTGAAATCATCCTGCACCAGGGAGACTTTGGTTTGCCTCTCATCAGATAATGCCACAACCTTCACCCAACCTATCCCTAAGCTTTGTCAGCCAGCCAGCTTCCTAATGGAGGAAGACAGCGAGAACAAAACGTACCTACCTCAGCAAGCAGTGAGGTAAGCAGAAGACTGGATAAGCAGGTCTGTGGATCTGGAGGGTGTGTACAGAAGAGGATTGTCCAGGAAATACAGGAGCCAAGGCATTGATAAGCATAAGGAAACTAGTGTGCCTATGAGCACTAACCTGCTTCTTAACTGGATGGGTCTTCTACAGAAGGACTCGAATCCTCCACTAAAATGGGAAAGAACAAAGGATTGGAAGACAAGGTGTAAAGCCCTGCCACACCGCATACCCCAGCTCCCTGGGTGTGCATCACCTTGAGCCCCTCTGGGCACTATGAAAGTAGCATCCACACTCTGAACCTGGAAATTTGGGATTAGAGAACATCAACATTTGGTAGGAGACCTACCAGCATCACCTCCCTTTAGCTGTACAATGTAGTTTTTCTTCCTAGGGTTGTGGGAAATGCAGAGGAGGAGGGACACAGCTAGCTGAAGAGCTAAAATTTG